GCCAGGCAAGCGCTTATTCTACTGAGTTATCTCCCCAGCTCCTTTTTCTTTTCTTTTCTCTTTTTTTAAGTTCAAAAGGATTTTTCTTATTTTAATTGGCCGGCTCAGGATGCCTTAAGGGCAGGTCTGCTAAAGCATGAGGGTCTGGGGATCGAACCACGGAATTCTGAGCCTACTTTGCTTAAGCAGGCACTTAAATAAAAGTCTTAAACTGAGATCTAGAAACTCAATTTGATGGTCAGATTACCTAATGAGATGTAATACTGCCCCCTGGTGTACAGAAATGGAACGTCAACTTCCCACAAAACAATACTCCAGTGTTCACCAGCGGAGACGACTGAGCCCAAAAATTCAGATGAAAGTGTTACTTTAAGAGATGTAGATACTTTCTTTTGCTTATAAATCATAAGTTTATAAATATAAATTTAGGGACCGAGGAGATGGCTCAGTGGAATAGGCGCAAGCGCAAGGGTCTGAGTTCAATCCCTGGTTCTGCCAAAAAAAATATAGAGAGAGAGATTCAAAACGGAAAAAAAAAAAAAAATACAAATTAAAAAGAAAAGTCATGCTCCAGGTGAGGATCGAACTCACAACCTCGGCATCGCTCCGCCCGCACTGTTATATAAGTACCGCGCGCTAACCGATTGCGCCACTGGAGCTTCAGCCGCACCCTCTTGCAGCTGAGTCCTTCAGTTACTCATAAGCACGTGACCACTGGACAGCTCCAACCTGGATTGGATATACAAATAGAATCTTTCGTTGACCAATAAGAGAAAGAAGATGACTAGTTCCGGATTCTCACGCTTCACAGGCTCTTGCTGTAAAAGGGAAAACGGCTAGAGCTGCTTGGAATGTGGGGCAATGGCCTGCCAGAGGACACACCTCCTCTTGAATATTCAGAACTAGGGAGGCGGGGTCTTAACCCTTCGTAGCCCTGCAGGCCGGAAGGCGGCCCCTCCCCCCCGCGGGCGGGAACAGGATATGAGCCTTGGCCGCAGGGGGATGGGAAACCTCGGGCAACCGCCCCCCCCAGCTGGGACCCGACTGTCCCGCCCACTGCTGCCACCAGAGCCGGGTGCAACCCACCCCAGAGGATAAGGGGTCTTTTGGACCCAAGCGACCGAGCTTTCTGTACCGCGTCCAGAGAGATCTCCAAGACCAGATCCCCGCATCTGGGTTAAAGGACCCTCAGGTGCCCAGCGCCCCCTCCAGGAGGAGGCAAGAGTCCGACACATCAGCCCCCGTGGGACCCTGGAGAGGGGAGTATTGCGCATCCCTTTATGAAGAACTCAGGATCCAGAACTGTATTTCCCTCAAGCGGCTCCCAGAAATCCGACTGCAAGAAACCCTCGAGTTAGAAGAACTTGGGGTTCGGACCTCTAGCGTCCAAACAAGTCTGTTTAGGGCTGCTACGTCTCCCATTTCTAGGGGACTCAGGAGTTTGGGACCCCGTGAGCTCCCGCTTCGAGGTGATTTGATCCCTTCTCCTAAAGTTAGGGGAACTCCGGAACCCGCCCCCCTAACGGCCCTACCTACAGACTCAGGAATTTGAGTTCCCATCGCCTCCATTTGAGTCTGAAGAGTTGAGGCTCGCAGCATCTCCAACTTAGAACACCCAAGAAATTCAGACTACTGGACCTCACTCCCAGTGAGCGCGATTCCGGCTCCTGAAGCCTGAGAGCCCGAAGCTCACGCCCCAGGGTCCCGGTTGCGCACTGCCCTCCCTAGGGACTGCAATCCAGCAGACCTGGAACCCGGCTCCGCGCCCCGACGCGGGCGGCTCCCGGGGAGGCGAGGGGCCGCGCTGGGGGAGGGGGCGGCGCTGCGCGGCTGAACAATGAGGGGGCGTGCCGGCGGGCGAGCGCGGCGCCGGCGGGATCCGGGACCCGGGCTGGTGAGAAGGCGCGGGGGAGGCATCGGCGGCGGGACGGCGGCCGAGTCGCGGCGGGACCCGTGCAAGGGGGTGGAGGCTCTGGGCCAGTGCCTCAGGGCGCAGCCCTCGGCGGGGGAGGGAACCGTCTGCAGGACCCTGGCATCCGGTCCCCCAGCCTCCGCCCTCCCCTGGGACCCCGCGGCCTCCCGCCCACAGCTTTTCCCAGCCCTGCCCCTCGCCCTGCGCTCCAGCCAGAGTGTAGATGTTCCCAGGATCCTTGAGCCTAAGGCCGGGGACACAGGACTCTGGCTTCTTCGACTCTTGCTCTTTTTTGCTTTTCTTTGTCTCAACCTTTCCATCTTCTTTTCTAGGTTCTTGGCTTGTCTCCCTCGCTCTGTCAATTTGCCTATGATCCTCCTCCCCGTTAGTGGCTCCTGGGGGGTCCCTCCCTGGATTTAGATTGGTCTCCTAATTCCCAGCATCCCATCTATGAGTTTGAGAGGCGAGAAAGCCTGTGGGTTCACTACCCAACAAGGGGACTTTCTGCAGGTGGCTGTTGTGTCACTCAGCCATGCCTGAGGGAGCCCGCGGACTGGGCTTATCCAAACCCGGCCTCGGATGTGGCCACAGAGGCGAAGCCTGTGACTGCCCAGCTGTGTGTGGGACTCCGACAGGTGAGCGGCTGCGGAAGCATGGGTGGAGCCATGGGCGTTTGATCTTTCCTCCAGCCATCCTGTAGCCTTTTGGGGCTGTGCAGTGCTGGCAATGCAGGGTGACAGCTGTGCCCCACCCTCACAGGGTCCCAACTTGAACGTTCCCTAGCAGTGACAGTGCAGAGGGGCAGGTTTGGGGTGCAGTGCTCACGGCTGTGAAAGGAAACACTCCTTGCCAGGTTAGGCCTCAAGGAGTTGGGCAAAGACAGGGAAGAGCGTTCTGCATCCGTGCAACAGTGTGTGCAAAGGTCCAGAGCCAGTGCTTTAGATAACAGAAAAGTTGAGTGTGACTGGAGGGTGGTGGGCGGGGGGAGTAGGATGAGATGACAGAAGACAGCTGGCTGGAGAGGTAGCCTGTTGTCGCACTGCACTGATTTGAGGAGTTTGGGGTGTTATCCTCAAGGGGTTGTACTCTTGGGGATGACAGAATCAGATGGGAAGATTAATAAAGATCTCCCTGCTGATGTGTGGAAGTGAATTAGAGGTCTGAAGCCCTGGGAGAACTCTGATAGGAGAGTACAGGGCTGGAGGGAGGCAGTATGGTTGGAGAGGAGGGAACCTGTGGGAAGGTGCTAGCCAGGTGTGGGTGTGTGGAGGCCATGGGCAGTGGAACTTGACCTCCTACTCCATGTCCCACAGCCCCCGCCATGGCCTCCCCACGAGGTTCTGGGAGCTCCACATCTCTGAGCACTGTGGGCTCTGAAGGGGACCCAGCCCCAGGGCCCACCCCAGTATGTTCAGCCTCCAGACCAGAGCCCCTTCCAGGGCCTCCTATCCGCCTGCATCTGTCACCTGTGGGGATCCTGGGCTCAGCAAAACCCTCAAGGCTAGAGCGTGTGGCCCGAGAGATCGTGGAGACAGAGCGGGCCTACGTCCGGGACCTCCGCAGCATCGTGGAGGTGAGGTGGGCAGGTGACCCAGGGCCAAGTGGGTGGCCAGGCCCTTGGCCCTGATGACCCAGTCATCCCTGCAGGACTACCTAGGCCCTCTGCAGGATGGCGGCGTCCTGGGGCTGAGCATGGAGCAGGTGGGCACGTTGTTTGCCAACATCGAGGACATCTACGAGTTCAGCAGGTTAGGGGCAGATGGGACAAGAAGGGATGCTGGCCACTCAGGGCTCAGGGGGCTTTGTCCTAACCTAAACCTGGGAACTGCAATGTCCATAGTGGTACACACCTGTAATTCCAGCACTGTGGGAGCTGAGATCACAAGTTCGAGCCCAACCTGGGCAACTTGACAAGACCCTGTTCAAAATAAAAACTTTTAGGGCTGGGAAGATAACTCAGCAGTCTAAATGCCTTCTTGGCAAGTGCAAAGACCTGAGTTTGATCTGATGGCCCCAAAGCCTGGCATGGTGGCACACACCTATAGTCCCAGTGCTGGGGAGACTGAGATAGGAGATTCACTATTAAGTCTCAGCTGCTTAGTGAGATCCTGTATCAAATAAGTAAAATGAAAGAAAAAAATGCAAAGATTCAAAATAAACATGTTTAAAAGGGCTAGGGGTGTAGCTCAGTATGAAAGCCCTGGGTTCAATCCTAGTACCACCAAAAAAATAAAATCTTGAAACCCTTTAGTTCCTCTTCAGGCTAGTGTGTGGGGCATGGTGACCCCAGACAGAGATCATGGCACAGAGTGAGGGCTCTCCATCAGGGCGGGGTGACAGCAGATGAGGTCCGCAGTTGGGGATAGGGCCTGGCATCAGGATGGAGTCTCAGTGACATCGCAGTTCTGGGCTCATGATGAATCTGAGAGTCACATGGTGTCCACAGGTCATGACCACATGAGCATTTGTGTGCCTACCTTATTCTGGTTTACCCAAGACATTCCCAACTTTATCCCTCCAGGCCTGTCATCCAGGGACATTATTTGGCTTTGGACAAAGCAGGATGATTGGTCACCGTCATGCGAAGGTTGTCAGGGCTTGTGTTGCTCTGAGTCCCTGGAAGAGGTTGCAGGATCTTAGGATCATCCCTAGGGCCACAGTGGCCTTTGTGGGAAGCAGGTGGCCTCTCACCCCAGCTCCTAGCAGCTGTGACAGGCTCTCATGCTGAGGGATCATGAAGTTGGCCCCAGACACATCTGAGGAGGTTTTAGTCTCCCATGTAGCGATCAGAGACCTTTGCTCGAGAGGGACATGATGTCTGTTTAGGGAGCCTAGAGATTGCTGAGCACCCCCAGGCCCGCAGGCTGTTGGGACATCCCCTGGAGTCCTCCCTTGGGGTGACATGGAGGCAGGGCTGGTGCTCACACTCTGTCCCCTACAGTGAGCTCTTGGAGGACCTGGAGAGCAGCAGCAGCGCTGGGGGCATCGCTGAGTGCTTTGTGCACAGGGTGAGCGAGCAGAGGCGGGCTGGGCTGGGAGAGGCTGAGCAGGGGTCAGCAGCCTGGGCAAGCTGCAGTGGGTAGGGGAGCCGGGACCTGGGGTCTCCCTGACTGCCATGTCCTCCGCAGAGCGAGGATTTTGACATCTACACTTTATACTGCATGAACTATCCCAGGTGAGGGGCAGGGCGCCCCTGGGCCCCAGGCTGAGCCCTGAGCTGGTGTCCCAGCCCTCCCTCCTCTGCCCTGCCACCCTCCCCCAGTGTCATCCCTGCCAGACCAGGATGCTGACTGACCTCTCCCTCCCTCCCCTGAACCCTGACCCTGATTGTCCCAAAACCCTGGCCACTCGCAAACGCCTCCCAGCCCTACCCGCTGGAGCTGCCAGCCCCTGATGATGTGTGCTGTGCCTCCAGCTCCCTGGCCCTGCTCCGGGAGCTGTCACTGTCCCCGCCAGCAGCCCTGTGGCTGCAGGAACGCCAGGCCCAACTTCGTCACTCACTGCCCCTGCAGAGCTTCCTGCTGAAACCTGTTCAACGCATCCTCAAGTACCATCTGCTGCTGCAGGTCAGCTTTGGCCCTTGGGGGCCTGGCTGGAAGTAGGGTGGGTGGGTTTCCTCGTCTCCGTCACCTGCTGTTGCTTCAAGAGGGGGGTCCAAGAGGCCTGCAAGGCCTGAGACTTTTCTTTCTTTTTTTTTTTTTTTCTGGCAGAACCAGGGATTGAACTCAGGCCCTTGCAATTGCCAGGGAAACGCTTATTCCACTGAGCCATCTCCCTGGCCTAGGCCTGAGACTTTTCTTCTGCCTTTCTCTGCTAAACTGTGCCCCAGGGCAGCCATCTGAGCCCTAGAAACTGGGCCAGTGGTGGTGTTGGGCCTTTCTGACAGAGAGGATTGGCACCTGGGATCCTACAGTCTCCGCCTCTCCCTGAGCATTTCTGTCTTGTCCCTCTCATTCTGACCACCCTTCCCCTTTTCCTCTCCTCCCTGTGTGCCTGGTGCTGCTGGCAGGAACTAGGCAAGCACTGGGCAGAAGGCCCGGGTGCTGGAGGCCGTGAGATGGTAGAGGAAGCCATTGTGTCCATGACAGCAGTTGCCTGGTACATCAATGACATGAAGCGCAAGCAGGAGCATGCAGCACGCCTCCAGGTGGCCTGGGGTGGGGCGGGAGGCGAGGCTAGCTGCTGGGGCCATGAGGAGGATGGGGCAGTGTTTCAAGGCCTGGGAGTTGGCTCAGTCAGCATGTCCCTGTCACCAACCCCCTATCTTGTCCTGTCCGTTTGTGCCACTCACGCATACCTATCTTTGTGCCTGGTGGGATCCCTGCAGGAGGTGCAGCGGCGACTAGGAGGCTGGACTGGCCCGGAGCTCAGTGCTTTTGGGGAACTGGTGCTGGAAGGTGCTTTCCGAGGTGGTGGAGGGGGTGGTCCTCGGCTTCGAGGGGGTGAGCGACTGCTCTTCCTGTTCTCACGGATGCTGCTCGTGGCCAAGCGCCGGGGCCCCGAATACACGTACAAGGGCCATATCTTTGTGAGTTTGGGGATGGTGCAGGGCTGCACTGTTACAAGGCGTATTCTGTATTCCTGTGCCTAGAGGGATGAACTAGGGACAGCCTGGCTTGAAAGAGTCACAGTTTCTAAAGTTCTAGGAATTGGGGGTAAGGCTGAGTAGATTGCTGTGAGTTCAAGGCCAGTCTGAACTACATAGTGAGACTCTGTCATTAAAAAAAAAAAAATGAAAGAAAGGGCCGGAGAAGTAGCTCAGCCTGCATAAGCATCTGCTTGGCAAGAGCAAGGTCCTGAGTTGGATTCCCAATACTAAAAACCAGAGCAGTAATGGACTAGATGTGGTAATGCAGATCGTGGAAGCCTGGGAGGCTGAAGTGGGAGGGTGAGAAATTGTGTCCAATATGGGGAATTTAATGAGACTTTCAAAAGCAAGGGCAAGTGGCCGTGGAGATAGCTCAGTAGAATAAGTGCTTGTCTGGCAAGCGTAAGAGTCTGAGTTCAATCCCTAGTTCCGCAAAAGAAAAAAAACAAGGGCAAACACAGGGACTGGGGTTCGATCCCCAGCAACACATGCCACACAGGCCCAGCCCCTGGGCTCGGCGCACAGAGCCGACCACTAAGACTGTAGTAGTAGAACATCCACAGTCCCAGCACTGGAGATGCTGAAAACAGGAAGATCACAAGTCTGAGCCGTGTAGTGAGACCCTGTACCAAATGTATAAAAAATAAATAAATAAAAAGCAAGGGCTAGAAGCCAGGTGTGGTGTCACACATCTGTAATCCCTGCTCTTGGGAGGCTGAGGCAGGAGGATCGTTGTGAGTTCAAGACCAGTCTGGGCTACAAAGTAAACTCAGGGCCAGCCTGAACAATATAATAAAACAGTCTCAAATAAATAAATAAAAAACAAGAGCTAGGACACTGGGGATGTAGATCAGTGATAAAGTGCTTGCTTCCCTTGTACCTGTAAGACTCAGTCCCTAGCACTGGAAAGAAAAAGAGAAAAAAAAAATTAAGAAGTCATGTAGGACTGAGGCCTGCAGGAAAGAGGCAGATGTGCCCACAAGGCAGTGTTTTCTTTCTTTCTTTTCTTTTCTTTTTTTTTTTTTTTTTTTTTTTTGCGGAACTGGGGATTGAACTCAGGCCCTTGGGCTTGCCAGGCAAGCACTTATTCTACTGAGCCATCTTCCCAGCCCCAAGGCAGTGTTTTCATGGGGAGCAGCAGGACCCTCTATATGATGAAGAAGGGGGCTCCTGAGGGCAAGAGCAGAGCCTGGCTGGTGGGGGTCAGTGTCATGGTGCTCTACTGTATTTGGGAGGCTGGGGCAGGGAACCGAGATCTGCCTCCTGGCTGAGCTCTGAGCTTACTGTCCTCCTGCCCCCCAGTGCTGTAACCTGAGTGTGAGTGAGAGCCCTCGAGACCCTCTGGGGTTCAAGGTGTCTGACCTGACCATTCCCAAGCATAGGCACCTACTGCAGGTGAGCGCAGGTGGGGCTGGCCCTGCAGACACCCCCAACCTGGACCCCCACTCCTGGCTGCCTAGATCCACTCACCTACCCACTTGCCCCCCAGGCCAAGAACCAAGAAGAAAAAAGACTGTGGATTCACTGTCTTCAGCGCCTCTTCTTTGAGAACCACCCTGCTTCCATCCCAGCTAAGGTAGAGCGCCTACCACAGTAGGGAGTGCCAGGGAATCCCCCAATAGTGTTAAAGACCCTAAGAGTACACAGACACTTTTTTTTTTTTTTTTTTAACATGATTATTAAGAGTGCAGAAGAAGAATTGGGCTGAGTGTAGTGGCACATGCCTGTAATCCCAGGTACTTAGGAGTCTGAGTTTGGACCCTGTCTCTACCATTCTTTCCACATTGTGACCTTGGACAAGTAACTTAACCTCTCTGGGCCTTCGTCAGCCACAGTGCTGGCCCGATGTGGAAGCAGCCATTCATGGGCATGGCCATGGTGCTTGGGGCCAGCCCCCCAACACTCATCCTTGTCTGTTTCAGGCAAAACAAGTCCTCCTTGAAAACAGCCTGCACTGTGAGTTGGGACTTGGGCTGGGAGGATGCTCAGAAGAATTACTTTGAGGGAAAAAGTAGGCTGTTAGCCCCAAAACTCTCCTCCCAGGTGCTCCGAAAAGTAAGCCTATCTCAGAACCCCCAACGCCCCCACTCGGGTCTCCTCGACCTCAAGATACTAAAAGTTTCACCCCTGGCCGGAGGAACACAGGTAAATGAGATGGGGTGGTGCATGTGCCCCTTCCCCCCAGTACCTAGAGCTCGGCTTCTGACCACTTGTCCCTGCCTCTGCTGCAGCGCCGTCTCCAGGACCCTCCAGTAGCCGCCGTGGCCGCAGACAGTCTGGTGAGTTTGCACCCAAGGTGAGCCGGGCACTCAGGCAGATACGGGCTGCTGACATAACTCTGTCCTCCCCAGAGCCAGTGAAGGACTCTTTTGTTGAGTTTCCACAGAACGGTCAGTGACTGGCTCCTGTCTGTCTGTCTGTCTGTCTGTCTGTCTGTCTGTCTGTCTGTCTGTCTTTCCCCCACTTCCCCCCGGGGTTACCCAAGATGGATGGGGAGGAGGTAGTTTGTAAGTTATAAGGAGTAACGCGCACTCTTGCATCTCACTGACTTTTCTCTTCTTGTCTGTCCCCAGAGAAGACTATATTCAAGGTAAGAAATGACCTGAGTAGAATCTGAGAACCTGGCCTCTTTGGGTCTGATGGAGAACAAGCTTAAGTTCCAAAATCCTGGGTCTGAATAAGAAAGAGGATTGGACTGGGCATGGTGGGCTACTCCTGTACTTGGGAGGCTGAGGCAAGAATATTGTCATGAATTTGAGGCCAGCCTGGGCTACATAGGGAGTTCAAGGCCAGCCTGAACTGCATAGTCGAAATGTCTCAAGAAAGAAAAAGTGGGCTGGGAGGTAGCTCAGTAGAAAAGTGCTTGCCTTGGGCCGGGGAGATGGCTCAGTGGAATAAGCGCTTCCCTGGCAAGCGCAAGGGCCTGAGTCCAATCCCTGGTTCCGCAAGAAAAGAAAAGAAAAGTGCTTGCCTGGCAAGCGCAGGGTTACCACAAAAAAAGGAAGAAGGAAAGAAGGAGAGGAAAATAAATTAAGAGAGGAGAAGGGCTGGGGAGATGGCTCAGTGGAATAAGCACTTCCCTGGCAAGCACAAGGGCCTGAGTTCAATCCCTGGTTCTGCAAAAAAAAGAAGAAGGAATTGGGTTGAGTATAGTGGCACATGCCTGTAATCCCAGCTACTTAGGAGGCTGAGGTAGGAAGAGCTGTTTTAAGCCCCACCCAAGCAGCTGAGTAATTTAGTGAGATCCTGTTTCAAAAGAAAAAGCTGAGCTGTGATACAGCTCAGGTTGAAGGCCCTGGGTTCCATGTGCAGTGCTGAAACCAATAAACAGCTAGATAGAGGTGTAGCAGTGGGTAGAGCACTTAGCATGAGACCCAGGGCCTTCAAGTTTAATCCCCAGTACTGGAAGAAGTTGAGGGACATTGAGACTCAGAAACCCCATCTGGTAAGGAAAGGCTCAGGGTCCTCCTGCTTCTCGCCTTCATCCCCTCTCCTCTGCACAGCATGCTGGCAGTGAAGGGGAGCTCTATGCCCCCTCAGAATCACAGCCACCCGTGTCAGGTCCTGCACTCCCTGAAGACCTGGAGGATGCTGGGCCCCCCACCCTTGACCCCTCTGGAACCTCAATCACCGAAGAAATCCTGGAACTGCTGAATCAGAGAGGCCTCCGGGATCTGGAGGTGAGCTAGGCATCCTGTCATGGCATTCCGGGGGCTCTGAGCTCCAGGAGGCAGCGAGCAGGGAACAGGCTGGCCAGCCCACCCTGGTATTTTTGGCTTCTCTCTGTGTCCACTACAGCCCACCCCCAATGATATTCCCAAGTTCCCTGGAGATGCCCAGGTGCCAGCCAACAGCGAAGCCCTCACATTCCAAGCCCTGCCCAGCCGAGACTCTTCAGAAGAAGAAGAGGAGGAAGAGCTAGAGACAGATGAACGAGAGCCATCCCCACTGCACGTCTTAGAGGGGCTTGAGAGTTCCAGTGCAGCTGAAATGCCTGACATTCCCAGCTTTGCCAAGATTCCTGACGTACCCAGCCTCCCTGAAATTCCCGAAGTTCCCCATCATCCCAGTCTCTCTGCCATTCCCAGTGTTTTTGAAATGTCCTGCCTTCCAGCCATGCCTGATGTCCCCGATATTCCCAGTCTTTCTGATTCTCCCACCCTCCCCTGTGACTCCTGGTTCCCCAGACCTCGACTGGAGCCAGCTGAGGCACCAAGCACCAGGAGAGAACTGTTCCCAGGAAGCAGTGCTGGAAAACTGGGAGAGCCTAGCTCAGGGAGCAGGGTTGGGCAGGCAGAGGAGGGACAAGGGGTGGCGGTCCCAGATGTCCGGCCCCAGGATATCACCCAAGCTCAGGGATTCCCAGGTGAGCTGGAATTCCGTTCTTGCTCAGAAATCAGGAGTGCCTGGCAGGCGTTGGAGCAGGGGCAGCTGGCCCGGCCAGGCTTCCCAGAGCCACTGCTGATACTGGAGGATTCAGATCTGGGAGGAAGCGATGGGAGTGGGAAGGCAGGAGCCCCGCACTCGGATCGGGCAGTGTCCCGCGTGCGAGAACTAGCCCGGCTCTACAGTGAGCGGATCCAGCAGATGCAGCGAGCGGAGACACGGGCATCCGCCAATGCCCCCCGCCGCAGGCCACGGGTCCTGGCCCAGCCCCAGCCAACACCCTGTCCACCCCAGGAACAGGCTGAGCCTGGTGAGCTCTGGGTACATGGTTGGCAGAGGTGGCCCTGGCTGGGGCATTGGCCCTCACTCCATCCTCTTTGCTCTGCACACAGGACCCCTTCCTGCCTTCGGACACGTGCTGGTGTGCGAGTTGGCCTTCCCACTGACCTGTGCCCAGCAGTCTATCTCCCTGGGCCCTGCTGCCCGTATTCAAGCTGCCACACCCTTGACTAAGCAGAGAGGCCATGTGGATAGCCAGAGTCTAAATGCTTCAGGTTTGCCTGAGCAAGGCCGACTGGACACCCATATTCTGGCTCCTCCAGCCTTGCCTGAGCAAGGAGCACTCCAGAATGTCCCAGCACCGTCCATGTCACCCAAGCAAGGAGGCCCTCCAGACATCCAGCTTCCATCTGTTTCAACGTTGCCTGATCAAAGCCACCTGGAGTTCCAAGTTCCTGCTGCCACCCCTGTGCCTGAGCATAGAAGTGACATGGATGTACAGGTTCCGTCTACCAGCTGCCCTTCTGAGCAAGGATGCCATGAGGACATTGAGATTCCAGCCATGCCCAAGCAGAGAAGTTGTTCTGAGGTCTTAGTTTTAACCACCACCCCTTTCTCCAAGCAAGAAGGCCAGTTAGACAGCCAGAGCCCAGCGGACATCCCAGAGGCTGAGGAAGGAGGTTCCAGGGATGATGAGTGCCCTGCCACCGTCTGTGGCCAAGCCATCAGCCCTTTGTTGGGGCACGGAAGCAGCCTGGACTGTCAGATCCCATCCAGTGCCTGGCTGCCCTTGTCACATGACCTCCCAGACATTCCTGTTCAAGGTGCCTTGCCTCTCCCTGAACGTGGAGGGTACGTGGACTGTCAGATTCCAGCGAGCTCTCCTCCGTCTTTATCTCAAGACCCCCTGGACATTCAGGTTCCAGCTGTCAACCCTTTGCCCCAGCTCCAAGGCCTCACAGACATCCAAGCCCAAGCCCTGCCCTCTCTGCCCAAGCAGGACGATCCCCCAGCCATCCAGGGCCCCACTGCCACACCACTGCCTCAGGAGCATGGCCTTGGAGACATGCAGGCCCCCCAACTCACAGCTGTGTCCAGGCAGCAAGAATCCTCAAACATCCCAGCTGCTGCTTTACCAGAGCAAGGCAGGCCTGAGGATATCCTGTTGCCTACCCCAGTTCAGATCACTGGGGCTTTATCCAAACCAGGAGGCTGCTTGGTCTCTCTTGTTGCCAGGTCAGAGTCTATAGACTTGACCCCACCCCACAGCCCCCCACCCCCTACTCGTCAGCTCCTGGGCCCCAGTGCAGCTGCCCTCTCTAGATACCTGGCAGCCTCATACATTAGCCAGAGCCTGTCTCGCAGGCAGGGGCCTGGGGGAGAGGGCCCCTCAGCCTCCCGGGGGCCCTGGTCCTCTGCTCCCACATCTCGGGCACCTTCACCCCCACCCCAGCTCCAGCCCCCACCGGCCCCAGCCCGGCGGCTCAGCTATGCCACCACGGTCAGCATCCAAGTAGGAGGTGGTGGGCGACTGCGGCCAGCCAAGGCCCAGGTCAGGTTGAACCACCCTGCTCTCTTAGCCCCCCACCCAGGAGCCTACGGGCCTTCACAGGGCCCAGGGAGCTCCTGATGCCCTTGCCACATGTGACCCAGGATGTCAGGCTTCCCAAAAAACAAGGACTTATACCAGTGTCACAACATTCCCAGAATTTCAACCCAAAATCCTGACATGGGTCTAGAAGTGGGTGCAGCTGTCTAGCCCCTTGGACCTGTTTTCACACATGGCCCTTCCTTCTCTGAACCAACAGGGATGGGGAAGGGACATCATTAATATTTTGTTAACATAGAATTATGTGTTTTCCCCTTTGGAATGTGTATGGGGTGTTGAGATGTGATGGCTGGGAAGAGCTGATGTGGTGTGATCACTGGGTCTAAGAATTTGGGGGATCTCCAAGTCTTTGAGGATTACTAGAAGCAGACCTAGTAATTTCAGTGTATGTAATTTCAAGGTGTTCGCAAACTGCTTATTGGGAAATCCAGGTTAAGTCTTCCTGCTGGGGAGATGGCTCAGTGGAAGGGCAGTTGCCAACCAGTGCAAGGTGCTAGGTTCATATCCAGGTCTGAAGAAAAAAAAAACAAAAAAAGCCCTATTATCCCAGCACTGGAGCGGCTGAGGGAGGAGGGTCTCCAAGTTCAAGGCCAGCCTGAACTATATAGCAAAACCCTATCTCAGAAAATGGGAAGTAGGGGGTTTGCTTCAGGTGGACCCCTTGAAATTCATTCTCTTTAGCAACTTACTGGGTGTCTATCTTGTGTCCCACAGTTAGCCATCTCATGCACAGCTGTTCCTCTGGCTTCCCCTCTGGTGTAGAACTGGCTTCCAAGCTACTGCCTTATCTATATGCCTTGCTTTGTTTTTTCTGTGATGGCCTCACTATGCAGTTCGGACTGGCCTTGAGCTCATTTTGTAGCCCAGGCTAGTCTCAAACTCTCGATGATCCTCCTGCCTCAGCTCCCCGAGTGCCGGGATTTCAGATGTGTACCACTCTCTCTGACTTATATGGCTTGCTTATCCAACATTCCTACCCCGTGTGGCTTTCCACTCCTCCATCGGCCCTTTCATCTGTCCTACCTGTCCATCTCCATTCTGTACCATCCCATCACGTTTTGTCCCTCATTCACCCATTTCCAGATCCAGCAGCCCATCCTTCATTTGGATTCTGATCTTGATACTACAGAACTTCAGAGACCGTTCCATGCTAATACCAGGGTAGACCAGTCTTGGGGCTCAGTCCTCTCCCCACATCCTCATGAATATCCCAATTCTTGTGCCCCACCCACACACACATCCTTCACCCCCTCCTTTGGGACTGCAACAATTCCTTAACATACTCCCTCCCACAAAGTAATTCAGGTCATAGACAAAAGGCTTTTATGGTGGGACCCTTTTGCCCCTCCTTCCTGAAATGGTGCACTCAGTAAGGACCATAATTTAAGCAGCAGAATGGTAGTATCAGCTGCTTCTGTCAAGTATTTAACATCTTGTATGTTAGCACACTAATCTTTCAATTCAAGAAGACCTTGCTCTGTTGTGAATTCAAGTCCCACCTTTTCTCCTTGGCGTGTGACTTTCCTTAGCCTCTTGCATACAAAATAACACTGCTTGGGGCCAGGGAGATGGCTCAGTGGAATAAGCACTTGCCTGGCAAGTGCAGGGATGTGAGTTCAATCCCCAGTTCTGCCAAAAAAAAAAAAACACTGCTTGTTCCCTGGGAGTGCCCCCATCATCGACTGAGTGTACCCTCTCACTTCCCAGATGGACCTGGATTAGGGAATCCATTCCAGTCACATTCCCTACCTATACTAGGCCTATTGAATCAGAACCTCCAGAGCAGAGCCTGGGAATCTGAATGTTAGCAACTGGGTAGTGGCAAAAAGCTGACTGAACTAGCTGCATACCATGAGAATTCCAGTCAGGGTTTCTATGAACTTAATTTGGGTCTTCACAATATCCCTAAAAGGCAAGTGATGGTGTGTTTCTGTTGTTTTGTTTTTTGGTTGGTGCTGAGGATCAAACCCACAGCCTCCTGTGTGCTAGACAAGCACTCTTTGCTGAGCTGCACCCCCAGCTCCCATGAGGATAGCTTTTTTAGTTTCTCTGAGGCAGGAAAGAGATTTGGAGAAAGGGACCCACCAGTACAACTAGGGAGGGCAGGGATGGGCAAAGCCTTGCAACCTCACTCAAGTTTGTGCTTAGATTGGTTGAGTGCCTGTCCAGAGCCAAGGTGCCCTTACCACTAGGAGCTCAAGGCCACGTGAGGTGAGTGTATAGCCTGTTGCTCCCTGGGGCCCACGGGATTCTGGCCCCAAGTTAGGCCATCAGTACACGCCTAGCTCAATAAATGTTAGCTGGTAGCTTCCACTTGTTTATTGAATGACTACTGTTCACGAGGGCCTGAGCCGCATCCTGGAGGCCACAGTAGCTGAGGTGGCCGCCTTAGCCTACGGTGAGCAAAGACTTCACTGAGGCCTTCAAGGGTCAGGACTGAGGCGGGCCCTCCCCTCCTCCATCCTGGCCGCACATTCCCAGCCACCCCCAGCTGCACATTCCCGGCTGAAGACAAGTTCCCAGCCTGACTTGGGCTCCCAGCAGCGCCCGGAATTCCCGGTATTTGAGGAGGCAGGGAGGGAGAAGGGGCCATCTACTCTAAGGCAGGAGTGGCTAAGGAGAGGCAGGCTCCCTCTCCAGATGTGTCCCAGCTGTGCTTCTAGAGAAGAGCTGGGAGCCTCAATGAAGTCTCTGAACCTTGTAGGAAAACCATAGGCCCCAAGCTTACCTGGCTCCACCCCTCCTCTGGGTGTCTGTGAATTCCATGCCTCCCTCTGGCCCAACTCCTACCCCTGCTGTGGACCTAGTTCCCAGTCTCCCTAAGGCCTGCCCTTCTTGCTGGCCAAGCATCAGCTGCCTGCTGGGCCACAGCTAACATCTAAAGGGTGATCTTGTTGCAGTGGTGTGTGACAGTAGCCCCAGAACTTGGAGGCTGAGGCAGGAGGGGCACTTAAGCCCAGGAATTAAGAGGCAGGCCTCACAAGTCCACCAACACAATGAGATCTAGTCTCAAAATAAAGGGTGGTGCTCACTGCCCTCTTACCTGTTGCACAAATTAGCTCCAACACAAAACCTGCAGAGCTAGAGGACATTTTTTTTTTTTTTTTCCCTCCCACCAGGGTAGTTTGCTCATCCAGTAACAAGGGTACTCCTGTGTTACTTTGGGGCATTGTGAAGACCCACCCTAGGAAGCTTAAGCTGGCACCTCACTGGTGCCCAGGGAGCCTCCTCCTTTTCTGGGGGTTTGGTCAGTGCTGTCTCACACAGCCCAGTGTTGGGGCCACACAGGTCTCCAGCGCACCTGAAGTCTGTAAGGCTCCTGCCTCGGGAAGGCCAGCTATGTACCAACCAGGCCACTGGACAGGAATCTGACACTTTCCCCTCAATTCTCAATTGACGGGGCTGGTGAGATGGCTCAGTGGTCTAAAGCACCTACTTGGAACAAGCTTAGCAAAGCACAGGGACTGCGGTTCAATCCCCCAGCACCACATGCCAGCCCGCCCCCTGGTGGGCTGAGCTGGCCACACGCGCGCGCGCGCGCGCGCGCACACACACACACACACACACACAAATAAATAAAATTAAAAAAAAAAATTCTCAATTGACATTCAAGCCAGTCCTCCAGCTGTCTGCAAAGGCTGAGTCTAGAAGATTTCCACCATCTCAGTAGTGCAGTTCAGACTTCCTCTGGCCCCAAGGCTGCAAAATAAATCACTTCCACCCCAACTCCTCCTCCTCCAGCAAAACCATTTTGAGACTGCTTGGAAGGCAGGAAGTTGGTATGGTCACTGCAGTGTCCCCAGCGCATGGCATAGCAGAAGTGAAGGGGCACAGGCAAGCAAAGAAAGCCATCAGAAAACAGAGTGCTGCCATCAGCACACTTGTAACCTCAGCCCTCTGGGAGGCTGGGGCACGAGGATCACAAAGTTTGAACCCAGCCTGGGTGACACAGTCACCTAGTAGGCTTGTGTCTCAAAATTAAACATGACTATAGCTGGAAAAAAGCCCTGGGCTCAGCCTCCAGTGCGAAGGAAAACAAAAAAGAACAGAATGAAGTTAATGGTCAGACTGTTCCAACTGACCCTGGCTCAGATGTCAATGCCCCAGAGCCCACTAACCCATGGGACTGGGTCGGGAACTCTTGGTGGGCCCCAGAGCCTTGTACTTCTCAAAAGTGGACTACTCTAAGCAGATGGCCCCCCAAGCTGAGTGCTGTAGGACAGGGACAGGCCTTTTGGACACTGTGGCTGCCTAATATGGTATCAACAGCCTTAGTGATTGCCCAGGTCAATGTTACTTCCTAAAGGCAAGTTATTCCAGAGCAATGTACTGCCAGCTATTGCCCACGAGCTGGGCAACTTACCAAAACCTTGTCTCAAAAGTACAATCTTGCTGAGCTGGGATATAGTTTAGTGGTCTAAGTGCCTGCCTGGCAAAATCAAGGACCAAGTTTGATTCTGGTGCCACATGCAGAGCCACCCCTGGAACCTCAGGCATGGTGGCACACGCCTGTAATCCCAGCTCTGGGGAGACTGATCACTATAGGTCTGAGCTGTGCAGCAAGACCTTGTATAAAAAAATAAATAAAATGTAGGCACAGACCTGTGAGGCTGTAGTCCCAGCACTCTGAAGGCTGAAGGCTGAGGCAGGAGGATCACCTAAATTAACCTGTCTCAAAACACCAAATTATAAAGACTAGAAATGTAGCTCAGTGTAAAGGCTCTAAATTTAAATCCTGGGGGCCAGGGAGATAGCTCAGTGGAATTAAGTGCTTGCCTGGCAAGCACAAGGTCCCAAGTTTGATCCCTGGCACTGCCAAACAAAAATTACTAAATTTAAATCCTAGTGCCACAAAATACAAAACTTTTTGGCCAGGTATAGCAATACATTTATAAACCTATAATCCCAGAGGCTGAAGCAGGAAGATCCCTGTTGAGACCTGCCTGGCTGGAGTATACAATGAACTGAAGACCAATGTCAATTGTGTAGCAAGACCCTACTTCAAAAAATAAGTAGAACAAAAACTCAAACCAGGCACAGCCCTTGCTCTCAGCTGCTGACTCCACAGATCCTATCCAGGCAGTCTGTCCTTGGTTTCTTTGTATTAATAGATTACTACTGACCTTGTACACTTCCTCTGTTCTTCCTGCCAGTAAGATAGCAGTGGGCCGGGTGTGGTGCCCTGTACTCCAGACCCCACACTAAGAAAGCTGAGGCAAGAGGATCCTTGAGGCCAGGAGTTTAAGGTCAGCCCGGGTAACACAGTGAGACAGTGCCTTAAAAATAAGTGGGGCATGGTGGTACAGGCCTGTGATCCCAGCACTGTGCAGGTTGAGGCAAGAGGATCACTGTGTATTTGAGACCAGCCTGGGATACAGTAAGTGAGCTCAAGGCCAGGCTCAATGGCAGTCTCAAAAAGCACCCCACCTCCAGAGGCAGGATTGCTAAATTTGAGGCTAGCCTGAGCTACATATTGAGACCCTGCCTCAAAACAAACAAGGGCCAGCCAGTGGATTAAAGCACTTGCTTAGGCAGACACAGGGACCGAGGTTCAACCTGTGCCAGCCCTGCCCCCCAGGGTACACTGAGACAGGCGATTTGAGCCTGAGCTGAAAACAGGAGAATCACTAGAGTCCAATCTGTGTAGTGAGACCCTGTACTAAATACATACAAAAAGAAAAGGCTGCTGGGTGTGGTAGCACCTGCCTACCTATAGCCCCCAGCTACTGGGGAGACCGAGACAGTAGATTGAAAAATTTAAGGATACTGAGAATAACTCAGAGATCCTGTCTCAAAATAAGAAGGGGGGTGGGCCCGCGGAGACAGCTCAGTAGAATAATCATTTGCCTGGCAAACACAAGGTCCTAAGTTCAATCCCCATACTGAGGAAAAAAAAAAAAAGCTGGGGTATGGTAGTACATACAACAGGAAGGTTACAAATTCAAACCAAATAGGGCAATTGAATGAAATCTTGTCTCAAAGTAAAAAATGGCTAGGGATATAGCTAGCTCAGTGTGAATGCTTGAACCACAAAAATAAACAAGAGGCAAAAGGGCTGAAAACGTAGTTCAATATGAAGGCATAGCCAATCCCCAGCACAAGCCAATCAGATGACATTTAAGATGAGCTGGGGTGTACAAACTTGCACATTTTACATGCTTGATAGCCACCAACTGCCCACAACTACTGCAAGCTTGGCTAGGCCAGATGCCTCCTGACACCTACACCCAGCCTTCTGGAAGAGCCAAAATCAAAACTGGCAATGTGCTGTAGGCCGTTCTTGTTCCATCTAATCAGACACCCACGAGCAGAGACCACCACATAGTCATAGTCCTTACAACCTCAAAATCCCATGTTTATTACAAAGGCAAATGGTGATTCTTATGGTGAGTTTATCGGTAGGATT